TTCATCTTGATTATGCCAAGGGCCAGGGCCAACATGGCCCATACATCAGTCTTTGGTGGGTTCTCGGCCCGACCCATAGCCGATGGACCAACATGGAAAACACCCCTAATCCAGGACACCAACAGTAGCCCGTGAACTATTCTTTTACACGGATTGTCTGACGAAATTTTCTGTGTTAGCTACCCCGATCGCACACGAGCATATGCACTAAGCGTATGTGAACGGAGGAGCTATCGCAGACAATTTACTGGGTCATGTGGGATGGACCCCCCATCGCACACACATGCAAGGAAACATTTTAAAACTATGTCACAGAAAGGGGGATAAAAACCGTTTGTATAGGATGTCACTGCAATAGTGTCTTTCCTATAAATGCCATGGGCCATTAACAGCGGAGACACAGATTGAACCTTTTTTTTTGGGCCAGAAGATACATAGGGCTTCTAGTAGACCGAAAGATGTTTGGGCCTAAAATTTGCCAAAGTGCCCACTGGCCATTAGCAGGCCAAAATGTATCGCATGCCATGGTTGGCTCATTTACATGGCGGTCTGGTACTTGTGAGTTGCATTGGGATTTTCCCTGAAGAAGAAGGGTGAAGCAATATAGTAGCATATAGTATCTCCCTCAGTGAGAACCAAGGTTATCGAACCAATAGGAGAACCACACAAATGCCTAGTAAGCAATACCTGCACACACAAGAGCAAAAATACTTGCACCCAACACGGCAAGAGGGTTGTAAATCCCCTTGAACTTATTACTTGCAAGGATTAAATCTGGTAGTGGTAGATATATAAAATGCAAAATAAAAGAAAAGAAAGAAAATTGCATCAAGGTATTTTTGGTTTTTGTAATATGATAAAAGTAGACCCCGGGGCCATAGTTTTCACTAGAGGCATCTCTCTCATAATAATAGTATATGGTAGGTAGAAAAATTACTGTTGGGCAATTGATAGAAAAGCGCATAGTTATGACATTATTCATGGCAATGATCATTTATATAGGAATTACACCCGTGACAAGTAGACCGACTCCTGCCTGTATCTACTACTATTATGCCACCAATCGACCGACTCTTGTTTGCATCTATAGTATTAAGTTCATGATGAACAAAGTAACACTTTAAGCAAGAATAACATAACATAGATAGAATAAAACCAAGCAATATGATTAAACCCCGTAATTTACCCTTTGTGGCAACAATACAAATACGTGCCTCGCTACCCCTTCTGTGACAAGGTGAGGACACTGCAAGATTGAACCCACTACAAAGCACCTCTCCCACTAAAGATAAATCAGTCTAGTTGGCCGAACCAAACAGATAGATCAGAGAGGAATATAAACCTATAATAATCATGCATAATAAAGTTCAGAAAAGACTCAATTTCTTTCAATAATAACGTGATCATAAACCCACAATTCATCGGATCCCAACAAACACACGTAAAAGAAGATTACATCAAATAGAACTCCGATGAGAACATTGCACTGAAGATCAAAGAGAGAGAGATAGAGAGCCATCTAGATAATCACTATGGACCCGTAGGTCCGTGGCTACTCACACATCATCGAAGGTGCAACATGGTTGATGTAGAAGATCTCCGTGATCAATTCCCCCTTCGACATAGTACCGGAAAAGGCCTCCAGATGGGATCATGGAAGAGCAGAAGGTTGCAACGGAGGAAAAATTGTTCGTCTAGCTCTTGGGTTTTTTGGAATATTTGAGAATTTATAGCGCTGGAATTAGGTTAGATGGAGCCACGAGGGGCCCACAAGGCATCAGGGCACGCCTACCCCCCAGGGCTCGCCCTGTTGCCTTGCGGTCTCCTCGTAGGTCTTTTGGTCCTCCCCCGAAGTTTCTAGGGTCTCTTAAAAAATCATCAAAAAGTTTCGTAGCGTTTGGACTCTATTTGGTAAAGATTTTCTGTAAAACCAAAAACAAGCAGAAAACAACAAGTGGCACTAGGCACTGATATTAATAGGTTAGTCCCTTAAAATGATATAAAATTGCATAAAAAGTATCCAAGATTGATAATATAATAGCATGAAACAATAAAAAAAATTATAGATACGTTGGAGACGTAACACGGGTCATAAATGCGCCGACTTACTACACGTGCCTTTAAGAGGCCAACACTGACTGGATTTGTGTCATCAAGAATATGGGCCGTTAATAGGCCCAATGTCACATCAGGCCATACATGGCCCATGGGTAGCGTCGGCCATTAACGGGCCGAAAGACACATCGGGTTGGAATGGCCCAACTCTACAGTGGCCCGCTAACAGGACGAAAGGCAGACCTCGCGGAAAACGGCCCAATTCCAGTACGGTTCATTTATGGGATGAAAATATCATCGAGCAACAAATGGGCCCAAATGTACGAGGACCTTCAACATGCCAGAAATGCACTGGGCCATAATTGGGCCCAAATACATAGCGGGCTATTAACGGGCTAAAAGAGTGACCATGGGCCGCAATGATGGCAAATCCATAACGGCCAGTGACAGGCCAAATTTACACTATTGTTACGGGCCGTACGGACCGTGCCTATAAATGGGCCGTGTGCAAGCAGGCCGTCAATGGGTCGGCCCACTAACTTTGAATCGGGCGACCTTTTTATCTAAATGGGCCATTGTTGGGTCATGCCATGTGTCACGGTTTCATTAGCGTGTATTGTTCGTTGGATGGGTGACACCTGTTGCAACACAGAGCTGATGCGTGGTTCCGTTAGCTAATGAGAAAATGACATGTGGAAAATTGTCATTCGTCGGGGCTGTTAACGGGTATCGGATCCAAAACTGGCACCTGATAGCTTAACGGTGACCCGTTACGGTGGCTGCCACATGTCGGTTACCCTTGACGAAAACACTTCCATGACACACCATTTATCGTCACAAAAGTGGACACTTCCGTGATGTTAAATGGAGTATTGTCATGGAATACTTCTATGATAGAACATGTATGACTATCTTGATTCTGTCATAAATCATCACGACTGTACATGCGTGACGAAAAACATGATCTACTGTGACAAACATGTATTATCACGGAAGTGTTTTTCTTAGTGTAGCCACCCGCTGGACAACTAGGCACAGGGTGTTGGGTTCGTTGCCATGGCAGACACCCATAGGGTGCTCTTGCTTATCACCGGGCTGGGCAATACCTACTACTAGTGTTGTTTCTGGTGGTGGTGGTGGTGGTGGTGGTGGTGGTGGTGGTGGTGACGACTTGCATGATGATTGACAATGACGACGACGATGATGATGGCGATGTACATTTTGTGGTAGCTAGGGCTTGAAAACTGTTGATGAGGTGGTATATACTAACCCCTCACACTGATGGTGAACTTGCAGTGGTAGGTTACACCCTCTTTTTGAATGTGTTGGTAGGATGACACAAAGTAGTTAGGATGAAGTTGCTTTGCCTTTTGGGTATACGATCATGCATGCATAAGTTTCTTGTGTTCCATGTGTACTGTATTCCTTTTCTTGTTGCTTGAATCGTTGCTCTTTTGTCAATGCTAGGTGAAGTGGCATGTGGTGTGGAGAGGGAGGTTCTAGGGGTTTACAGTTCATGACAAATAGCCAAGAGTAAGTGACTTGTTACACAGACAACTTCTTCGAAGTGTTTAAGAGTAGATAGAAGGCATAGGATGCTTACTACACGTTTGTGCTCAAATAGAAGAGCAATGTTGAAGCAGGTAAGCCTCCCAGTCGGTTTGGGGTGTGTGGGATGAAAAACTTCATCATCGTCGTCCAGTTCGTCGTGATTGTAGTGATGTATTATTTGTGTGATCGTTGTGATCGTATGTAAGCTATATATGATAGGCTCACCACATAAGATACAAAGTAAGCAGAGGCCGAATTTATGCAACCAAATATCATGCAGTGCATCAACACAATTGTAAGCAGGCAACCAAACGTGCAGGGGAGGGGGAGTTGGTGTTGTCATGCATGCAGTAAGTATCCGGACAACCAAACAATGTACACAACATAATTTTTAGCTTTGCATCTGCTCTGCCTGTCTAGGTGAGACATATATGCAAAAGGGAAAAAGATACAAGCAACCAAACATGCTCATCGTAGATTGATGATCATGCATGAACAACAAAATATGTTATGCATCCTATCCAGAAAACAGAGGAAGCATAGTTAGTGAGAACGGGAAGATTTGCAACAATAGCACATGGGTCCATGACTTCACACCAAAACCATCAATGGTCAACATGACATCCAGTTTAGCCGGCCTTCACACCAAAACCACTAATGGTCAACATGACATCCAGTTTAGCCGGCAACATGGTTCAAAAGACACACTCGACGGTCAGACGACAAGCAGAAGCAAATCCAGACAGACACATGTTTCTTAATCTAAAGCTGTAAACCACCATTG